GCAGGCCCTGTGGTCCTGAGCACACCGGCACAGCTCATCGCCCCCGTGGTGGTGGCCAAGGGGACGTTGTCCATCACCACCACGGAAATCTATTTCGAGGTGGACGAGGATGACCCGGCCTTCAAGAAGATCGACCCCAAGGTGAGTGCGGCCGGCGGGCGGCTCGGGCCCCCTCCTCATCTTCATCTCCGTCTTCATGACCATCCCCGGTCCTGGTCCCGGCACACGTGGGCCGAGGCTGCCCTTCCCCCCGCTCCAGACTCCCGTCTGCCGCCTCTCGCTGCGTTTTATTTAAAGAAAAAAAAAAAAAAGCGCAATGTATTAATGATGTTAAATCCTCTGTTACTCAGCGTGCGCGTTTTCCAACAGCCTTTCGCTCGGTGCCTTTGTATGAACGTGGTCAGATTTAGCAGTTAAGCCAATTGCTCTGAAATCCCTGGAGAGAGCAGCAGCCCCAGCCCCAGTCCCAGCCCTCAGCCTTTCCGAGGCACAGCGGTTTTTTTGCCCTTCCGAGGATATCGTAGAATCCCGTTATTTCAAGAACGTTAGTTTCCGTGTAAGAAAATACGGCGCATTTTGTAAACACTCTGACTGCTGAAATGCAAGTTCATGCTGATTTTCGGGGGGGGGGGGGGGGGGGGGCGAAAGAAGGAAAAGGAAAAGAGAAATAGGCATGTGCCCAAGACTTGATTCCTGGGAAAGCTCTGGGTTTTTTCTCAAGTCATTTACTACTACCAGTTCTCTAGCGCCTCCTCCCCCCTCCGCGGAAGCCTCCAGCCCAGCCGCCGCAAAGCAGGGGTGCGTGACTGGAGCGGAAACCTTTCCGTGGCTTCCTCCAGCGGGCGCGGAGCGGGGGCTGCCGCGGGGGGGGGGGGGGGGGGGGGGGGTCAGGGGGTGCGGAGGGGCCGTCTGTTACAGGGTCTTTTTTAGCCTTATCGCTGTTACTGCGCTGGGAAATGTTAGAAGAGAAAAAAATGGGGAGGTGCCTCTGGTTTGTTTGGGTTTTGGTTTTCCTGAAGAAATATCAGAAATAATTTCCAAGAAAATTCTAGCGACCTCGTCTGAATATGTTTATAATATAGCGATTTCTCTTTTGCGAATAATTTCTCAAACTCTGAACTTTCTTTGCAGTGCTGGGGAAAAAAAAAAAAAACAAAACAAAAAACAACTGTCAGAATCACTTGGGATAACGATTTCGTTAGGGAAATATTTCCCACTGGAAACAGTTGCTAGTGGGTGTTACACAGGCGATCGGCCTCTTTCAGCACTTGTTGACTGTCAGGGAACTAAACCGATTCCGCGTTGTGATTCTGCGTTTTGATTTTAAAGCCGTTTTAAGAAAGGCGCAGTAAAAAGGACCAGGCGCTGCGGTACGGAGAGGCAATGTTGGATCGCTTGCAGTTCTGTAGCCACACACACGTTATTCCCTCAGAATGCCCTGGGAGCGCAGGGGCTTGATTTCTAGGAGTACAACTGGCAATCTTATCACATTCATAACGGATTTGTAGGTCAGAAGTAATATTGTTCACTTTATTGGTGCCGGCTTGAACCTTTCACCTATAAATTTTATTTTCTTCTTTATTACTACTTGTGCAAAAACATAAGTTTTATCAGGTTTACTGCTTGGCTTACTCGGTACACTGGCTACTGAAGGGATACGTTGTGTTTCCTCAGCTTTGCTCGTCACCGAACAGAAACACATCAGTGCCATATAGTAAACCTTTCGAAAACAGATTTCTTTTCTGACGGCTGAAAAAACTGTTACTGCATGAATAACAACATCGGTGTCTGACAGATGCTGATGGTCATGTGGAGATGCATTCTTCTAAATTCTGGTGTGTCTGGAGCACCAATATTTCCCTGTTCTATAAAACTATTAAAAATGCAAAAATCAGGCGTCTGCCCCCAAGTTTTCAGCTTTACAGGGTTTAAGCAACTATGCACAGGAAGGCAAAATTCACAAAACATAGCTGCCTCTGTTTTTTCAAGTAGAAAACTTGATCCGATATTGAAACGCTTACCCATATGCATTTTACTTCATTTATTAGCTTGTAATTAAATAAACCAGCAACAGAAATTAAAATCTAAATCACAAAAGGTAATTTTCCAGTGTATTTCAAGTGCATTTTCAAATATATAACTCCAATATTCAAGCGTTATTATATAAGCAGAATCCAAATTTCTTTTGAATATATTTAAATAACATTTCAAGTATATTTATGGAATGTTAGAAATAGAACAAGCAATATATATGAAACGAAAAATGTAAACTTGTTAAGTTCAGACACTTCCAAAGACAATTAACAAAAGTACCATGATAAAATCTACCTTTTTTAATGGTATCTTCTCTTTAGCAGAAAATGTCCTTGAAGTATCCAAAATGGCAATTTAACTTCTGTTCACCAAATCACAAAACACCAACATCCACAATTTCAAAGACAATGGGAGATCACAATATTTGATACAAATCAAAGGTACATTAGGGTTTGTTCAGGTGGCATATCCAAATAGCTTTTACTCACAAAGGGTTTACATAAAAATACTGGGGTTTATTATAATCCATTGGTACCGTTTCTAGGCTGAATGGTCACAATCAAGTTAAATAACGGCCAATTTTCTTTTCTAGGTAACACACTTTTTTATCATTACTGTTTTCCTTTTTATTTTTTTTTTCTTTCACGGGGAACTGCAAAATTGTGACCAAGATAAGAGAGGAACGATATTTGCTGTTGTTTTTCTTTGTGAAGAGCCTAAGCTATATTCCTTTTTGAAAGAGAACATTATTTGTATTGTCAAATGGAAACGTTTGACTTTTCGAACAGGCAGGTTAAACTTCATCGGGAAATAAGCAGATTTGTCGTTAGGGCCGGTTTTATAGTTACCCTCTAAAGTTTCTCCAAACTTTTCGGGTTGGTAAGTATTTCCCTAGCCAGTCGCCACGTTTGTTTTGCCGCGTTTTCAAGGGCCGAGTGAGGTTTGCCCTGAAAGAGGTCTAAATTGGGCAAGAAGTAATGCGGGCACCTCCTGCACTGGAGGCAGGAGATGAGCTGCAGTAAAATCCCGTTGAGCCTATCGCCCAGGCACGACTCGTCCCAGTCCGATTCGCGGGGATGCTTTTCGCACTCGTAGGAAACCAGAGTCTTCATGTGATAATTATTCAGGGGCTGGCCCGGCAGCTCCAGGTGACGGTCCCGTAAGGTTTTGAGGATAGAGAGGCATTTCTTCCTGCAGCCGCCCATCTGCAGTCTGTTCTCGGCTTCCGCGAACTGCAGGACCCAGGCATCGCTCTCGGCCGAGCTTTGCTTGCCGGCCAGAGAGTGGCACTCCTTGGACAAGAGGTTGAAGCCTTCCGCCTTGACCTCGGCCACCCTGTTGGGTCCCGGCCAGGGGATGTGGGGGAGCGGCCAGTGGGCAGCGCTCCGAGGCCAGATCCCCGTGCACTTGAACGCCGGAGTGATCTGCACCACGTACCGATCCCTGATCCTCAGCTTCACCTCGCTAGTGTCTGCCACCATCTTTACCACGTCTCTGTAACTGCACTTATCCACGGCTTGAGCCACCAGAGTCTGAAATCTGGACCGGATTTTGCGAGCGGAGAGGTAGCCAGACGCCGTGATGAACTCCACCCAGAGGGACATACTCCTCTTTCGCCCGTCGCTTAACTTTAACACAGCGCAGCCCGGCAAGGAGCCGTCGTCCACGAAGTTGAATACCCCCATTTGGTTCAGGTACAGCACGACTTCAAACTCCGTGGGGGAGATAACTTCCAACCCCTCGTAGCGGTTGTCCATCTCGTTCAAGGAACTGATGAAGCGAGGCTCCTGCACCTCCACCTCCTTCAGCACGTCCGACACCACTTTGCAGACTTCTCGAATTGTTTTGGCGATGGCAGCTTTCCTGGCTTGGCATTTCTCGTTGTAGTATTTATTCAAGTGATACACCAGCTTGGCCTGGGCCGCGATCATGTTGGGGCAGAGATCCGGGTTGTATACCGGAGTCTCGCAATAGGCTGTGGGATCCAATGCGGCTGCTAAGGCTGGAGCCAACTTCAGAGGAATAACAGGCTGCCGCACTCTGAAATGTAACAAATGTTTTTCAAAATGCGCCGGGGCTGCTGCTCCTCAGATGCTCTCTTCCTGCTTTTTTAGATCAGCCGTCTTGAAGTGTGTGTGGCGGGGAGGGGGGGTTGGGGGGCGGGGGACTGGAGGGGGAGATATTTTTCCTCCCCCTTTTTTTAAAGGGTCCGTAAGTGAGAGGAAAGCATCGAGAGCTGCACCTTCCCCCGCAGCAAGAAAAACAAAAGTTGCAGTGAGGCACAGTGAGGCTTCCAGTAGTCAAAATAATAAAACCTCTTCGTATTTATTTATGTTTTCCCGTAGTAATCACTGTGTGTATGCAGGGTGGTTAATCAGATGGTGGTGGGGGGAAAAAAGTGCCGTGTGTGTGTGTATATGTCAGAAGAAGCTGGCTGTTGGTTTGTATAAGAGCCCAGATGCACTCGTGTGGAAATTATAAAGGCAGGGCCAGGCAGGCGGGCGGCCAATCGCCACTGGGCTCGTCACTGCAGCCTCTTTCAGCTCAAACCCGGCTAATTAATCCCTCTCTCGGAGATAGATATGTATACACACACACGCACACAGGCACATATAGAGAGGTAGAAGGTTACTGGTTGAAAAACCTCGCCGATCATCTGTGCACTCGGAAACCGGGAGAAATCGCTCTCCTTGGGGTGTAACGTGCAGGGTATTGACGTTTCGAAGGGACTCGGCAGAAGGGTGCCGCTCCGCAGTGCGCCCGCCGTGCCTCCCCTGGCCGCGGCGCGGGTGCAGGTGTATTTCCGGGCATCCCCCACCTCGGGAGCCACACACCGGGCTCGCTCCTGCGAGGTCATTGACTCACACTCGGCAGCACATCACGCTGTCCTTTTCTCCTGATAGTAGCCTCTAACAGCAAGAGAGAAGTTCTTGGTTTTTTTTTTCCTCTCGTGAATCGGTCAGTGAAGAAGGCAGCAGATTCACGGCAAATTTAGTGTCCTTTGGAATAAAGTATCACGCAAAAGTCCTCGATTTGTATTGTTCTAAAAGATCTTCTGACGGGCTCTAATCGATTTTGAGGCTTAATGCATTTCGGCATTGCTTCTGCCTGGCTTTTTGTGTTTGTACCTCGCAAGGGAGAATCAATCGCTAAACTTATTTGTCAGGTCTTTTTCACGTTTCCTCCAGAAATACAGCAGATATGAACGGTAAATCTCATCTGCCAGTTCTTAGCTTTGTTTTTATATTCCGAATAGCACTCCGATATATTGTGAAGAGTGGATGCTCAGCTGCTTTTTGAGGCGCCACTATAAGTATCTATTAATTTCAAACTCGAACGATTTATCGTATAGCGAGCTCTGCTAGCAAGCTGCGTTTAGTAAATGTGCACACGGGAGGCATGCTAGCGACTGCATACATGCTGGCATGCTACGAATCTGACAGTTTGGGGTTTCGTGTGTTTGATGCGTAATTAGCAAATTTTGCCTTCAGTACTTTAAGTGTTAGGAACCGGGACCTTTATTTGCAAATAAGCTGGAGTGGCAAAGTCTTCTGCTTTGCAGCATTTACCGAGCTTCACTTAAAATGAATCCTTAATTATAAATGTATGTGTGTGTTATACACAAGAGCAAAGCTTTTAATCGCCTGGAATCTTGAATCCACTGCCCGATTACTAATTCTTAAAGTCACTGTCACAGGCATATATAAGGAGAAGTCATACCACAAAGAACATTTCACATTTATTCACCGTATTAATAAGACCAACTTTATTGGACATATCGGAGAATTTCTGATTTTGTGCTTGGCTCGCTCGGTCTGGCGTTTATACGGGTGCTCCCCGTGCCACTTCCCAGGAGGAAGCTGATGCGGGAATAATTTTCTGCTCGTTCGTGAAGTAGGGCTGGGGCTGTCTTGGGGCGCCACGCTGAAGAACTGCAGGTGACAGCTCGTCCCGAAGCAGCTTTTCCTCTCCCCGGCCGCAGCCCCTCCTGCCGACGGCGGAGAGGCGGCCGCTTTCTGGCTATTCGGGCGAAGAGGAGCTGGTTTCCTGCCAGCTCTTCTCCCTCCTCCGGGTAGTTTCCCGGCCAGGCGGCGCGGCACACGTGGCTTGCCCCGGCCGCGACCGAGCCGCCGGCAGTGGAGACACACCGCACCGGCCCCGGGGCCTTCCGAGCCGCCGCCCGGGACCTGGGCTGCCCCCGCTTTCCCCGAGCAGGCACTTACGGGGCTCCTGGCTGGGTCGGAGGGGACAGCCCGGCGCCTCCCCGCCGCCGCCGTCCCCCCGCTGTTCTTACTGGCGGCTGCCCCCAGGTGCACGGGGAACCTGACGCGGTGGGGTTGGGGACGGCCATCGCCCCCCTCCCCGGCAGCCGGCTCGGTGGCACCGCCGCAGGCCCCGTCGGCGGGCGGGGAGGGGGAGGCACCAAGCCGGCTCCGCACATCCCGCCCTACTGCCCCCGCCGATGGGGCTCAGACGACCCCTCCTTCCCCCGCCCGCCCCTCGGGGCCGGGGGCGATGCCGGTCGCGCCCTGCCTTCAGATGCGGGTGCGGTGCTCGTCGGAGCAGGGGACGGGCGGGGTGTGCGGAGGAAGGAAAAGCGGCGAAGTTGGGTCTAACTCTGGCGGGCGGGTCCCGGGGACTTCGTGGGGCGGGGGATGCCTGCGGCGGTGCTGGCTGAGGCCCTGGTTGCTGCCCTGGTGCGGCGGCGGCCGCTCGGTCCCGGAGCCGGCCATCGCGAAATCTCCAGCCTTGCCTGGTCCGGGGTGGTTTCTTTCCTGTTTAAATAAGAAAAAGCGCCTTTTCTGCGAGGTTACATACCGCAGCGATGTCAAAACGAAAGTTAGAGCTGCCGGAAAAAAGGTTGTGCCTCCCGCCCATCTCCGCCGAGTGAACAGCCCGTCCCTGCGGCGGCCCCTGGGCTCCCCAGCCCTTCCCCAGCGCTTAGGCTCTCCATCCTGGCCTCAGCCCCTTGGTTCCTCAATCCCTCGGCTCCCCATCCCTCCCCAACCACATGGTGCCCCATCCCTCTCCATCCCCTCGTCTCTTCATCCCTTCCTCATCCCCTCGGCTCCCCATCCCTCCCCGTGCCGTCCCAGCCCCTCGGCCGCACCGGCGCTGCACGCTGGGGGTGGCAGCATTTCGGAGAGGTTTTATTTTTGCTCTGTGGTCTTATCTCGGTGAATCCAGTTGCTGCAGGCAAAAGGCGACAGGTCGTACCTTTAAGGTGTCAGAAAGCTTAATTTTCATAATGTGGCAAAATTAATTTAACTTAAATTACGTCATATCCTAAGTCAGAGCTTTCAGTGTATAATGCTAAGATCAATTTACGGTATCAAGTAATGCAGGTTATATGTATTTACTGTACCTTGGTGGCTATGGGAAACACTAGCTTTAGTTTTGGCTGGGCGATGTGTAGCAGAGAAGGTTGCTATTGACTTCACTGTGTCGTTTCATTTCACGTGTACACAATAAACTTTTGATAGTTTGGAGATTTGTGGATTTAGGCATCGCTGACACCAGTCAACCCCTGAAATGTGACTGCTTAGGTGACTCGATCGTTTAACATGACAAGAAGTCGGTGATTTGGTTTAGATTCTGAAAATTATTATCTGTTTGAGTAAATATGACACAAAATATGAATATTTTCGAAGCTTCTGACCACTTACTGCAGTTAGTTTTTCTCTGTAGTTATCAATATGTCCTTCATAAATAACAAAGGAAAGAACACCTTTTCATCACTGAGTTCTATTTTTATATGTACTGAGTTGTTTTGGAAAATTCGGATTAAAATCACCTCATTAAAATGATGGTTGATCATTTGTCATGATAATGGTACCATATGATATGGGTGACTTTTACCAAATTACTGTTTTCTAGATACTTACTCCTAATTAGGGGTACTATAACAGTAGTTGTGGAACTCTGCTGCTGAGTTCCCATCTTTCAAACTGCAGTGCCTTGTCAGATAGTGCTCACGTTAGCCAAATGATGTTGAAAATCTTTGACTGCAGGTACTCACCCACTCCCCTCAAACGGGATTTGAAAATGAAAGAGAAGAAAAAAAGAACACTGCCATATATAAATTTCACCAATAATTTCATATGGTGAAAAGTGGAGTTAAAATGCACATGCAGATGCATATATGCACAAAGTGCTTGCACTGATATCACTTTATATTTCTTATGATATAGTGATGGTTATTCCACACACAACTGCTCATGAATTTTAAAGTTTTATTTTTTAATATCTGCCTATTGCACTAGGGAGCCAGGAAAAAAATGAAGCCGAGTTGATTAAATTATTTATCCCTACTGGTGAAGTGAGTTTGAAGGCTCATTGAATGTATCTGATTTCTTGGCTCTTCTTTCTCCCCTTCCCTCCTGAATTCATACTGGTTATTTCATCCGTATCATCCTGCCAGCAACAATAAATTTACTTTTTTCCAAGTAGGAAAACTAAAGACATATATTTGTGCCGAGTTTGCTTTAAGTGTCACGTTATATAAAATAGGCAGCATAAATTTTTGATGATAGAAGTTGATAGTACCTGTGGTTTTCTGTATTCTTATTTTGTAGTTTACTTTTTGCCTCCACATTCAAATTTAGGAGCAAGTGAAAAGTTTAAATGCAAGTTGCTATAGTATTTGCAAAAGTGCAATTTTAATAAACGTGTATAAATTTCTGTGTAATTTGGTATGCAAACATTTTTCTTCCATTATCTACAATATTCTGCAAATGTTTTTTATTCTTTTTTAAAAATGGGATGTAGCTACTTTTTACAGTACACAGGTACCATTCGTTAGTGCTAAATGTGTGCATGTATTCTCTTCCAATTAAAAATAATGGTAATAAAAATCATCAATTTTTATATAACATGAAAATAGTTTGCAGTACTGTTGGACTTAGTCATCCTAGGTCTTTTGGATGAACTGTTAATGATTTAAATTCTTCTAATCTGCAGTCTGTTAAGGGAAAAAACAGTAATTGATTTGTTTTATATAAAACGTTGTGCCTCAAAAGTAAGCATGGAGGTTTCACAACTGTAATTTAGCTAGAACTGCGGAAACATTCAAGCAGGGGAAAAAATGCATTGAATTATTCATTTGGTTTACTTCTCCATCAGCTTCTCCGAAGCCAGGCATTCCTTAAGGTATAGTGTTTTATTTAAGCAGTCAGCACTGGTTGTTTTTTTTTTTTTAATTTTATTTTTTTTTTTAAATCTGCTTGGAGAATGCTCTTTTCTGCTGAACTGTGGGGGGAGTGTGGAATCAGTGGGGATTAGCACCTTTTAATCTACTACATCTGTAGTGGGTCATCCAACACTGCAGAACTCTCATTACTCTCTCATCCCGTATATGATTAAATGACTGAAAATATTCAATGTTGACCTTGAAAATAAAGCTGTAAGTGTTGGATGAGCAGCTTCCCAAGACTTCATGTCTAAGCTAACCTTTCCCCTTGGTAACTTGTAGCCCTAGGATACAGTTTGAGAAAGGACTAGAGCAATAGTCGGAACCAAAGTGTGGGAGCATTTGAAATGCATCATTATATAAATTATGACATCACTCAGCTTGTTCATGCTGTATTTTATGAGTAATCCAGTATCTTATTAGCCCAGTCAACATGGGAGGTTGCTATGTCTTGAAGACACTTATTTTTGTGACTGGTGTTTTTATGTAAGCTGGTTTCATCTTGATTAGCAAACTAAAAGACATCATCTTGTAGATAGCTGCTAGAGCTATTGGAATCAGCGGAAAAGATGTTGCTTAGCATCCTTGAGCACTAACTTATATAAAGCTATAAATAAGCACCATCTTTTCGCATACATTTTGTCATGTTAGGTGTTTATTGCTAATTTTCGTGCTGCCAAAGCTTTGGGCATGTTAAATCCCTCTAACTCAAACCAAAACTTGCCCTCTCCCCTTATAGTAGCATAGGTATGGTAAATTACCTGTGTAACTCACTTTATCTTGATTTAGCTGTAAAAAGACATGCCTAACATATTTCAGTGCAGACTTTTTTTTTTTTTAATGTAGTGTATAGCTCTCTGATATTTTCTTTCCAAATAGCGGTGAAGGAAGGAGTTGAGTGAGTTGGTTGCCAGTGATTAATACATTTCATTGAACCTTATGAAGACCCTGGTCTTTCCAATGCACACGTGGCTAGTGAAACATTCAGCTGGTATTGGTGAGGTCACGGGCTTCTTTAGGCTCACAGTTAAGTGCACGAGCAGTTATTTTCAGGATCAGGGCCAAAGTGGGATAACACTCTGAGGTTAACTTTTCAATTGGATGAAATACAGTAAGCCTTTAAAATACCTAATGCATTAAGTACATGTGGTGTCAAGGAAGTACATTTTTTGGCCCAAATATCTAGTCTTCTTTCAAGCAGAACTTCCTCATTAATTTCATTGTGTTCTAGCGATAGTGTTGAATTTGCTTCTTGAGAAATGACAGTGCGGTTTTGTCCATATTTTAACAAGATGCTCCCACAAAAATGCTTTCCCCAATCTGCTCTAAAGCTTTATGAAGAGGGTGAGGGCATTCAGAGAAATGAGTGAAAGATTAGGCTTTCAAAAATCTCTATTTAACTGTATTTTTCATGTACTTTGGCATATTTAGGACTATTTCTATAACTTGCAAAAGGTACAGAATCTTTTAACAGGCTTAAATACAAGCAACCTAAATACTAAAACCACTTATTCATTGTTTCTAAAAATATGCTAACTGTAACTGTAGTAGAAATGTATCAACAAACTTAGTATTTAAGGAAGAAGGGGAGAGATCTTTTCACAAAAAACTTGATACTTAATTCTTCTGGCCTTTAAAATGTATTGGCTTTCCTGCCACTACTCTGAACGTTTTTTTTTTCTGAGCTGGTGGAACATTGTCATTATAGAGAGTAATATTTTATCTAGGGGAGAATCGAGTCTTTTATTAAGAACAGCAAATTACTCTAGTACTCCTCTTACTTGGGTTTAAAAATTTAACCTAGATTACCTACTGACCTTCCTACTTTTCCCTACCATTTTTTTAGCCTATCTCTAGGACACAATATACAGAATTAGATCCCTTGCAGCTTAGGGCTAGTGTCATTGAAATGAGAAAGACTACAGAAATAACATGTGGTCCTGTAATTTCATAAATCTCAAAATTGTTGAAATAAATACTAGATGCTTATGAAATATGTTTATTTTATAGAAATATTACTATTGATTTTTCTTAATAGTAGGAATAGATCTTGCCTTTTGGTTATGTTATTGTTTGTAATACTTTAGTACCATCAAAAAGAAGAAAAAGAAAAGATGGTGTATCTGTTAGGGTAGTGACAATGTTTTCTCTTAAGTCTCTTTAGTTTTAGGTGAGGCAAAGGAGATATCTTTGGTTTTTTGCACTTCTGAACCATCTTTATACACATTTTCAGTTGATACAGAATAATGATTTTGTAAAACTAAAGGAGAATTTTCAGAAAAAAAATGTTTGTTTGTTTGTTTGTTTTTAATCAATTCTGGTTTTACTAGCGTGGATTTACTTGTGTGACATGCTCAAAATATGTGTAAAAAATGGACTGCAAATATATTCTTTACTACTTTTTATGTGGTCATTACAGTGGTGATTTTAAAGTTATGCAGTATGTACAGGCCTATTAAGAGAGAGGTTACTGTGATCAACATAATTCTATTTTATTTTAAGTGAATGTACAGATTATTTTCAGTAATGAACTGGCTAATTTTGGCTTCATTTTTTT